GGCTTCATTCTCCTTCCTCGAGAATTTTCTACTGGAAGGTCCCACCGGTCTTTCTTTTGCTGCTTTTGTCAAATTTACAATTCTTCGGTCAAATTCATATTACTGCGGGCAACAAGTAATGAGGATGTAGCTCATAATCCGTCCATCCATCCTTGTCGGATATCTTTATAATATTTTATCCTTGCAAATGTATATGTATCTTATCATATGATATGCATGTCTTTGTTGTTTGCTATATTTTCGTTAGTCAATACTTTTAGGCTCAAAAATCTTCTATATTGTGTTTATTTTGCTTCTGTCGTATGTTCTGATTGGTATTCCTTGATTATAGAATCGTACAACTCCATCCATAGACTTCAGTTCGCTTTTTAGTACTAGCTACGAGCCTAACAAAATATTGGGAAAAACTGTTTGCTTTAAACTATGCTGTGCTCTTGCTTCGGATGGTAATCTTTTTTCTATAGTGTCCGCATTTAAAAACTTCAATCTGATTTAACTCGGAAATATATATATATTGTAGTTAAAAATATGACTAAATGAATATATTATATCGTAACATGTTAGTTCTTTTATCGCTTAACATAATAACAACACAACTCTCTAAGGTCGAAACATGTTTATAGAAAATGAATAATTAGCAATTTTTTCATTTATCGAGGGATATGTTTAGGTTAAACGTGTGCATTCATCTCAACTACGTTACATTTACGAAAAGAATCATTTTCTCGGTAGATTCATATTTTCTGCACATGTATAGGTTATGTATACAAAAAAAAATATATATATTTATTTGATGTGTAATTTCTTACGAAAATTGCGATAGGTATAGTTTTGGATTGTTTTGTTGCCCGTGTACGCGTGCGTTAATTAAAAGTAGAAATTTGTGCTGGCATTTTAAAAACGCCCTTGTAGTAAAGATCAGGTAACTATTCAAAGAGTTTATGTCACATATATATGTCGAGTGTAGATGCATTTTGCTTTCAAGCAAAAATATCCACCGTGGCCTAAAAGAATGTAAGAGGCGAAAAGGTGAGCTGTTTCTAAGCCTTCGCTACAGAAATTTTATTTTGCAAAGGTCCCGATCCGCACTATTGTTTTGGTTTGTCCCTGTTAATGGAAATTTTGAAACAGGCCGGTATTTTTCAAACCGCAGGTCAGACATTCGGTCGGTCAAGAGAGCTGAATTATGAAACTCTCCTACCAAAACAAGTAGAATTTATGCTTGGATTTTTTTTTTTTTTTTTTTTCTTAATCACCGAAGCACAATTACAAATAACCATCGTAGATGGTCATCTCGGTATCTGTGCCTCTTCATGGAATTCTCATTGAAATTGCAAAAGTAATGTGTGCCTGCGGTCGTGCTCACAACACCTAAAGGGAGAAAATATGAAATTTCAAAATATCTTTATTAATTATATTATATTTAAGGACCTTTTGTTTCAATTTGGAAGAAATTCTTAGTGATGGCGAGGGGGGGAGAGTTTATGGTATGTATGCATGTACTCCATAATGTATATCCTTAATCGACTCATTGACACAAAAGGCAACAATTTACATATATATATATATATATATATGAGTGCTGTAAGCAGCGAATAACTGTCAAGGCTTCAAGGTGTGTGTATATTGATTTCTTCTTTCCTCTCCCTTTGTTTAACCCTCCTTTTGCACCACCTGGTGTCAAAATGAGGATAGAAGTGTTCATATTATATAAAATTCCATACAATTTTAACTTCAGTTAAATTTTTGCAATAAATTCTATTACACATTTTAGAGGAAAGATAATGTGTAGGAGTGAGGGATTATCTGTACATTTTCGAAATAACTTAATAGAATATTATTAATTCTCATAGCAATTGTCGCGTAAAGGTCAGGTAACTGAGACAACTTTTGTTTATGTAAACATGTAAAAGTATTCGTTAAGAAATTTTAAGGTATGTTTTCCTTCTTTCTGTTTAATATTATTTTATATGAAATTGTTTTTTAAATTCATTTTGTAAATCCTTATAAATCCTCAGTGAACTGTGTTTGTACGCAATGGCCAGAAGCCATTGATATTTCGCTGTCTTTTTGTCAACAATAGCAACAGAAGCAGCCCACCAGCCCTCTCAACAGCTTAAAATATCAGAATAAAAATTCTGACATTCATTCCACATTTGAACGTTTTTGTGGATGGGAAACGTTCAAGGGAAAAACAGAAGTTCGAAATACTCTGGTTTTTTTTTTGGTATTGAAAATAAACCATAATGATGTCAAAAATTGCCCGGTAAGAGGATTTCACTTACTCCAATTACAGTAGTCGTTAAGAATATTATAAAAACGTGTAAAATGGTTTGAAACTTTTTTTTTATAATCCCTTAGTCGAATGCTAACTGGCGATGCAATCATATTAAGAGAGAAACGGAGCCAATATATTTTAATTTCACTGCGCGCGCTCTTCACCAACCTTCACGATCTGTTCGAGAAGTTCTTTGTTGCAGTCACTTTAGTTGTAGTTTGCATCATTTGATACGAGCTTGCCTTGCCCTCTTGAGAGGTATCATAATTTATGCGATATTTACTTAAAGTAAAAATCTTTCTTATACGCAACTACGCGCCGATCGTGGTTTTTTTGGATAAAATTAATATATCCGTCATCCGTCGGTGATGGGTATGAAAAAGATGTGCTGCATGTTCCTCCCCACATGTCTTCTGGTTCGTTTTATTAATAAAGCAACTTCGAATATCATTAATGGATTCTCTTATCGTTACATATATAAATGTATTTTTATGTATATTAAAAAGAAATTATATATGGAACTTTCAGATGTGACGATTTGATTATACTTTACATCTGATTAAAGTTTATAATAGATTGGCAAGAGGAAAGTTGGTCTCGTTTCGATCCCTTTTGTATTGTTTTTCTCTTTATTTCATATAACTTTGGCGCTATTTCGATAGATTATACAACTTCCTTACTAGCAAATGAATCAGCGAAGTGGAGAAAGCACAGATAGTATTAGAGCAGAGTGAGAGTGTTGAGAATGACTTCAATTTGAAGACTACATTTTGAGTAAATGGCTATTTTCCTGCCTAGCCTAAGAGATACATCACGCAAGAAATTGAAAGTAAGAGCTAACGGTGTGCGTTTTTTGCAAGACCGGGCAATACACTTCCGTTTTGGATTTGCAAGCCCCCTTTTATTTATTTATTCGCCTTCTCTCCCTTAAACATCAATTTCGGAATGTTGACTTGAGATAAAAAGCGCGTGACTTGCAAAACAAAAAAAAAAAAAAACAAAAAAAAAACCAAGCTTTAATAGCAGACCAAAGTTGCTCTTTGCGTTTAAATAAAAATTGTGCTCCTTTTAAATACCGGCTTAAAAATTAGAGCCCGAACAAAGTGCTTTGTCGATTATAATCCCTTAGCTTAAGAATCTTATAAAATAATGAACATTTATAAAAATGAGCCCAAACTTGGTTCAAGGTTAATAATAATTGAATTTTTCTATTCCTATGATAATATATCATTATTTCGCCACTTATTTTCATCATAAACTTGGCGAGAATGTTATCTTGAGCCAAGCCCGAGATATATATCAATTTGGTCCAAAATGGTCTGTTTCCATATTTATGAAGGAAACTACTCTTCCCGCACAAAGAGAGAACGCCTGATTTCAAGGACTAATTTAAAATCTTTGAAATAACGCCACACCGTTCATCATAGCATGATTTGACTATGCATGATGGAATTGCATCAGGTCCAGGCGCACAGCTATATTTTAGGAGACCTCAACCATGTAAAACGTCATGTTCAGAAATGACCAAGTCAGGAATCGAAACCGATGCAGTTATAAGATATGGATAGTTAACATTCAAATCGGAATCAGCAGACGAAAAATTTCGGCGCAAGTATTTAGCAAAGACAAAGACAGAAGGAAAAAGAGAGAAAGACAGAGAGAAAGGAAAAGAGAGATTTCAATATCACCAGAAGACTGGGAGCCATTGAGAGAAACCTGCGAGGGTTATATGGAGAAAGAATATATTAAAAGTTAAGTTTGTCTTAAATCATTTTTAGTGTGGCATACAATACATTACGCACATCATAAGTGATGTAGGGTATAATGAACGGTTACGGTAAACCACGGTGCCATAAAGATGAAGTTTAGCGGGATTAGCTCTTAATAAGAAATAATTTCGCTATATTGAAATTAAGTTATCTGAAACCTGAACAGACTAAGTATTAACTTAAAAAACAGTTAATAAAAGAGGCAAAGTTTGGTCATTTGATATTAAATTTTTCATCATAGACTCTCTTATCTTTCGCTGCGTTATTCGGTGTTCAGATGATTCTTTAAAGAAACCCTCATCTAGAAAGGAAGAAAAAACAACGATAAGAGTCAAATGACAGACCTTCACTGTTGTAAAAAGTTTTCTTAATGCATCACATTTTTCCTTATAATTCAATAGAGATTGCATTTGTTCTTCGTTCTTTGCAGGTCAATAGAAGCTAGTCTACAGAATATCTATTGATTTTTGTGACACACACACACACACACACACACACACAAAAAGATTTTATTTTTTTGTTTTTAATTTGTGCTTTCTTTTCGTATATTGTGTTTTTATTTTTATTTTTTAAATTCTCACTGTGTTTTATTAACATATAGACAAAATATGACTAACGATATATACTGGATAATGGTGATGATAATAATGAACGTTTCATCAATGCTCACTTAACCTTGACTCGATAGAAGGAGGGCTAGCATAACTGAGAAGGCAACAGACCACATGATGAGCATTCAAACGCATGACCATATAGAACCGTATATGAATTGATGCTAAGAGTAATTTTTTTTTTTTAAATTTGCTTTTGTCGATTATTTGTAAAATTAGGGTAAATGAACTTGACAAACAATAATAGAGAGATTGAGAATAAAGACAAAAAAATGGAGATGACTGAAAAAACAAAGCGAGACATATGCACCAATAAGATAGCAAAGTAAACGATTTACATACCATTGCTTTGTTTTAGTTATTTACTGGTGTTGTTATTGCCGTTGTTATTTTTGTTGTTATTATTGTTGTTGTTGTTGTCGTTTTATGGTTTGTTTCTATGGTGCGATTTGCATTGTTTATGAATCCATTATTAATAGTTCTCTTTAGAGAAATGCAATAAATTTTAAGACATTTTGCAAACATTTTAGTGATTTTT